TCTCCATTTGTTCTCTATTAAAAAGAAACAACTTTTTGAAAACTGAACTTTTTAAAAACAAATAATAAATCATATTTTTAATATATTCTAAATAGATTGTTTATTAAAAAAAAATATATTATTTAATGATCCATATGTAAAAATATGTATGAATGAAAACTGTAAATTTGTAGTATACAATATAATCTTTCTTGATATTTTTTAAAATTAATGTAAATCAAAGAATTCTTAGTTGAAAAGAAGTGCTTATAGAAAAAAAAGTAAAAAGTTTAATGTCAAAGATTGATTATTCGTAGCATACAAAAGAAAACGGCTAGGAAAGGAGATTCATCGAGGAGCCTCTCTAGCATTCTATCGTTGACGGACTCTATTTCATCAGCTAATTCTCGATTGTCATCATCGATCAGCCATTCGAGGACGGATTCTTCGTTTTGGAGATCTCCTGCACATATAACATTTTAAAATTCCCAATTCTTATTCGTTATGAGGACAAGAATTAGGATATAATCAAGAATAAACATATTAGAATATAAGTAGTATAAATAAAACCTTCAAAGAGAAGAGGATTGCCATTTCGAAAATAAACGAGAGCTGGGAACGTCTTGATCGAATATCGCTTCGCCAACTGTGTATCCTGAATTTTCACCATATGAATTCCAAATACGTCGCATTCGTCATCGATTTTTTCCAAACCCTCCAGAATCTCGTCACATATGTTACAATTCAGCTTGGCTACGCGGATGTTACATTTATATACTTGAAAAATAATTATCGTATATCTTGATCCTCGATAGTAATTAACTTACTGAAATAAACTGCTAAATATTGAGTCTCCTCGACAGACGTTTCTAGCATCACTCGTGTGATCAGTTCGATTCGATCTTCTGTTCTTTGAGTAATCAGCCATTGTAATACCTCTTCTTCCACAGAGAGATCACCTATAGACAAATAATTGTGAATAAATCGCTATTCGGAAAGCTAATCGTCAAAACTGCAAACCTGCGAACACATTCGGTACTTGATGCTCGAAATAGACTAATACTGGTAAATCAGTCACTCCATAATCTTCAGCAACTTTGAAATCCTACAAAAACGAAGAATATTCTCATATAGATAAGCAAAAAAAATTATAAAATATTAATATTATTTTTATTTTTTAAAATATAGTATTATATTACAGTATTATAATTTTCGTATTTGTCTTCTTATTTATGTAAAAATGTTGTTATATATTGATGTTGAGATATTCGATGTTAAAAAATCATTATTAAAAACTATACAAACATTATTATAAATTATTGGGTTGTCCGGAAAGTTCGTGCCGAGTAAAATTTAAAGTTTAGTATACATTTATTAAATTAAAATTTTCTGCATTTCAATTTTCCTTCAACATCGGCACGAACTTTTCGGACAACCCAATAGATAAAAGACATTAATTTTGATCAAATTAAATTTTTTTGTTAAGCAAAGCATTATATAAAAATGTTTACTTTATACATTTTTAATTTTTTTATAAAGAATTGCTTTCCTGCTTTCATTATTAATGAGCATTTATTTATTTAATATAAGAAGGATAATAAAATATATATGTAAAATAGATATACAAAGAAAAACAAAAAGTTTATTTTAATATTTTTACTTACTTGTGTTTTCACAAATGTAATGCCATGTCTGTCGCAATCGTCGTCAATGTTCTCCAATTCCTCAAGTATCCCCACGCATTGTGCACAGTCATCGGGATCTGAAGAGAAATTCTATTATTATCGAATCTTTATCGCGAAAACTTATTGTTTCCAATATATCTATTTGAAGAATATAAAGGCGATACTACATAATGGAATATTACACATCGATCATTGATGTAAATGGTCTACTCGATACGAGGGAGAAATCTGCTAAATACAAGGCAAATACACGTGATAAAGTGTAAGTAATACTGCGACAAGATTCGGACGCGATCATTTACGTGTGATATTTAAACTTTCAGCGATATTAGAGTATCTGTCTCATCGATGGAGTAAGCGAGAATTTTGCATGCTCATCGGGATCTGTAGGTCACTACTGCTTGGCTGCTTGTGTTCTGTTCTCATGTCGCATGCTTTGCTCTCGTGCACGTGCACCTGTGTAACTGTGTAATTGTACATACAGAATATATCAGAGAGAAAGAAAAAGAGAAAGAAAAAGCAAAAAAGAGAAATACATTATTTCTTTGGAGAAAGCATCCTAACAAACATTTGGCCCGGAAAATGGCGGTGTTCTATACGTCCACAATCATTTCTATTAGCTATAAAACAAGAACAATTAAGAGAACACTGACGGTTAAAAGAGAACCGAAATATACATTTCGATATTTTTATTCAATGTATAAGAGATTTATTTATATTTCAATACTTCGCTATTATATTTAAAGTACAAACAGTTATCCCGTCGATCATCAGTGTTCTTTTATTTTTCCTACGAAAAAGCGTATACACTATGAGATAGCACACATTATTTCTCAAAGCTTTTCCGGATTCCGGCAAAGCTTGGATATATTGCGTACCGATAAATCGCACGTGATTGTACGGAGAAAAAAAGTTTACCGGTTTAGGATATTTTATGAGAATATTGTTATATACGATTAATAATTTATTAAGTATCCGATAACTAGTTTTTTCCGTGCATGTGCTAGGAATACATTTCGGTTATCTGTGATCGAGATAGAATCGAGATAATTGAAACATAGACTATAAATCACAGAGAGGTAGAAAAAAATATATAGAGATAGAGAGAGGGGGAGAGAGAGAGAGAGAGAGAGAGAGAGAGAGAGAGAGAGAGAGAGAGAG